GAAGCCTTTGTAACCTTCCAAAAGGTAATAACTTCCTCTGCCTTTGAAAAAACTTTTAATTTTGTGTGAGCATCATCAAGCCCTCTTATTTTTCAGTCCCTCCCCTCCAACTGTCTGGTCATTAGTATGATTTTTTTTTCTCATTGAACATTCTGTTATCATGTAACATTAGGGAAGTAAAATGGGTTGCGAGTGCCCCTTCATGTTGACTTTAAACAATGACAGACAGCATTTGAAATAAAAAAATAGTTGATTTGTTAACAATTATGAATGCACTTAATTGCAGTATTTAAACCGATAAGTGGTTTGCTCTTAACAGTACTAAACCATCTGCTTCACATTTGCTTCTTGAACTTTATGCAGTATAGGTCATATTTATCAGTTTAGATCATACAGTATGTTCTTAGAAACTATACATGCTTGAAATTGCATCATTTTGAAGTTCCTTATTGTACAGTAAATCTTATGACTCAAACAATACATTCTTGCATTCTGACTGAGTGACATTTGGAAAGCCTTTCTTCTGTCCCACGAGCTCTCTCTCTCTCCAGCTCATTATTGTCTTCGTCTCTCTCACTGGTAAACAGAGCAAAAAAAGGAACGGACATGGGATGTTGACTCTCCTGTCGAACAAAACCAAATGCGACGCTCTGCTGAGCGTGAAGGGAAGCAGAGACTCTGCTCTGTGAAAAACAGTTCTCTGTCGAAGAGCACTTGCTGGAATCATGCGCTTCTAGCATCCACACTAGGAAGGTCACATCAAGTACTGGCACTTTAATGGGAGCATGCACTATAAAGATCAACAATTTATATAGACCATGTTGAAAAACTCTCCTAAACAGATGATTTGAGCACAGGGCTTAGGTCAGCTCTAATAAAGTCAACAGGAATCAATTGTAAGCTTAGCTTTAGCTTAGTGTTTTTTTTTTACATTCCCACAACATGGACTTTTTCTAGTCTTCTGTTCAATCATGTAAGCTTCCCTTCCCCCCATATGTCCCCACCCCCACTCCAGTGGAGGAAAACACTGTGGATGCACGTAAGGTTTTAACAGATTGATACAACCCAGGATTTACCATCATTATCTAGTATTGTAGTTAGCCTGTGTGTATCTGTGTTAGTAAATTACTACCCATGGATTCAAAGACAAGGGCCTGCGTTTTGTCAGTTGCTATAGTAACCAACAACAGGCAGGTGTGAGGTGGATCTGAGGTTGTATGTGTGTAGCCCATAGCAGTTTTACTGTTAGCACATAAAGAGACTGTATAACAAAACTGGACTACTGTACTTTATTTAGCTTCTGTGTTGGAACATAACAGTTTACGAACTGGTGTCTGAACGGACAGTGTGAGAGTCATTAGCTTTATTTATTGCAGCCTAGGCGCTCCAGCTGCACCAGCGTGTGCCAACAGCAGTAAAATAGCCATAACCTGAAGTTTAACAACATGATAGTTTAATCTTTACAGGGAGAAAATTTGTCATTTCCAAAGAAATAAAGAAGAGGAAAGGACTGGCGGGAATGAATGAGGGATGGAGGAGCGGAAGAGGTGAATGATTCATTAAAGGCTTCCAATTAAATTCTGCTCAATCATTAATTCCAAGACTATTCGTTATGAGAGTCTCCGGTGACAGGCTGTTTATTTATTACACTGCACACCTTAGATATTCAACACTGATATGATTTTCAAAACCTTAGCTATGCCAGCTGTGGTGTTGGAAACAAATTGCATTAGATCAACAGAGTTTAGGCTGACTATTATGTATATTTTAGGAACAGCAGCGTGAGGACTGAAATACATTTACATTGAACTGCGGCATGAGGGTGAGTAATTAAAGACATAATTTTTATTTTTGGGTGAACCATCCCTTAAATTTAAAGGGATAGTTCACCCAAAAATGAAATCTTCATTAACGTGCTTAACTTCGGGTGATTTGGAAATGTCAAAATAGCATACTACCCTTATTGTTTCTGTTGTAAATGGCAGAAACAACACTATATAGTGTATATATATGCGTGTATATTAGCGAACTGCTTGTATAAATAGTATCATATAGCATTTAGCATTTTCTCTTATTTCTGCCATATATGGCAGAAAAAGCTGGAGTAGTATTAGCATACTACTAGTGTATGTTGGCTTAATGTGTAATAGCATGCTAGCATTTTCTTGTATTATTTCTGGTATATATAGCACAAATAAGAGTAACATATTAACATGGTATATTTTAGCAGAATTAGAACCTTTATCTCTTGTTTCTGTCATACATGGCGCAAATAGCAGTAGTATGCTAATATATTTGCACTCAACTAGTATATATACTGTAGTATACTGTACTTTCAGCTGAATTTGTTTCTGCCCTATATCACACAAATATGTTAGTATGCTATCAGTAATGAGGTTAGCAATGTACGAGTCTACTGGCGCGCATTGTCATGGTGACGTAGAGAGAACATTACGATGAGTGTTTAGAGGATACACTTTAATTGCTCTACATCAACCTATCCATTATAATCACTCCAGCAGTTACCATGGGAGTAATGGAGCTAATGCAGCTGCCTCTCATAGTCATGAGGTCATACTGTTGGATAACCTGAGAGGGGATAATGGGGTAAGGGGTGTGTTTATGCGTACTCCGTGACCATGGCAACATATTTGATGAGAAGGAACACCTGGGATTTTAAAAGGATGTCCAACATTCACATAAACACACACACACACACAGATCTCCATGCTGAAAACAGAGACCATATGGTTTGAGACCCTGGAGGTGGGCGCACTAACATATCAAAGGCCTGCTGTTGTTTACCGGTCAGGTGTGACAAACAAAAGAAAATTAACTAAATGCAGCATCTCATTGAATTAAAACAATGGTGAAATTAAAAGGAAATTGTGTTTACATTGATCTTCTGATTAACAATTCAGAGTGTGCTCGTGTTTGTATTCAAGAGAAACCAAGAAAATGACCAAGAAACTGTAAGCAAACCATTGCATAGCATCTTTTCAATATGAAAAAATTGTGAACTATTTGTTGATGTACATTTATTTAAAAAATGTTTAACATTTTCAGTTCTAACCACGTTTTTTTTCTTCATCCAGTATTCTGGTGCACTTGGAAATATGCCATTTCAGAAGTAAAATGGAATTCGAGCAGCATTAGTTGTATAAAATTACCCACAATGCTTTAGATTAGAACAAAGGTCTGAAGTACATATCCTTTCTTTACTACAAGTTCTCTTGAATGTTTCAATCATTTCTATCTTTTCTTCTTGTTTTGTGCCACTTATATCAAGGCCAACTGTGTAACTAACCTTCTTTGTTGAAAAGGACTAAGCGATGAGTCACCTATGGCTATTGTCAATATGTTATTTTTGTTCTATTATGAATCATTTATATTTATTTCATCCACAAGTTGGATTCAAGAAGTCAGAACTTCCTCTTATAGCACAATAACATCAAATCGATCTCATTCTTTGCCTGTATTTAATTGTAACTCTCAGTAAAACCCAAATTTTATACTGAATGGCTTATTTCACTTTTAAATTCTTATGGCAGGAGAAAAAACACAAGGGAGGAGTGGAACATGGGATAAGCTTATAATTATCAATTCCCTGACTCGGTTATGAGACAAGAGATTTGGTCTCCTCTTAGCCTCTTAATAATTTGTGTGTTGTGAATATGAGCAAAGTGGAGAACACCTTAGTGTCACAAATGGAACATGAATACCAGCTAAGCAGAACATGAAAAGAGCTCTGAAAACATTAGGGAAATCAGACAAAGCTTAACTGTTAAAAGCCAAGCATCCAAACATAAAATGCATCATTTCATATCAATATAATGAGCAAAACTCATGCAGCACTCTGTGGGCAATCACTTGTAATCTAGATGCTTGTTTCACATTTCTTCCAAATCGAGTCTCTGTCCAGATGGATGAGAAGTGTTTCGAAATGGGCAGTGTCTCTCATTCTCAGTTGTCTAGAGGTTTTATGTGGCCTCTTGGCTGAAATATGATCTGTTTTTGCTATGTGAAATTGGCAAGAGGTCTAATACTTAGTGGGAAAAAGTCTGTTGCTATTATGTTTTTGTTTTTCTGTGGTTCGAGGGTCACAATCACCTCTTCATCAAATGCTAATTATAACATTAAGTGAAATTCAAACTGATCTTAAGTCAAACCAGAATGAAAACATATTCCAACTTCTACTGAATGAGTTAATTGTAACATTTGCTGAGTCATTCTGGAGCTGGATTCATGAAAGAATCTTATTTTTTTTTCTTAATTGCTATTTTCTTCTTATTATCTTATTTAAAAAAGTTAAGAATATATTGTATGCTCAAAACACTTCCTAAGAATGTTCTTATCTTTATAAAAACTTAAGAAGAACTGAGTAAGATGTTGATCAGCAAGTCTTTGGCTAGAAAAGCCATACAATCAGATAACACTAAAGCCAGGAATTTTCTTTGTAAGAAAAAAAGTTGTTCTTAAAGGGATAGTTCACCCAAAAATGAAAATTTGATGTTTATCTGCTTACCCCCAGGGCATCCAAGATGTAGGTGACTTTGTTTCTTCAGTAGAACACAAACGAAGATTTTTAACTCAAATCGTTGCAGTCTGTCAGTCTTATAATGGAAGTTTCTTGCTTTACGGCGGATCGCAGACTTATAAGTGCATTACCGCCACCTATCTCTCAAATGGACCATTGACACTCCTAATTGAGATTGTAGATGGAGTATCAATGGTCCATTTGAAAAATTGCAATAAGAAGTTCTTAATTTTGAGAAATTTCTTCTTTCTTAAGAAGAAAATTTCTTCTTTTTTGTGAATCCAGCCCCTGGTCAACAAATGACTACATTGCCATCTCCGTCTTTTCCTCCTATGAATGAAGATGTTCCAAGCTAGAACAGATGCTGTGAACATCTGGATGTTTTTTTTTACTTGGATGTCACATGGAATATAAATACATACTATATTTCAAATTCTATATTTCTGATGTTTTCTCTTCTCAGATCAGCAAACAGCACCTTCAGACAGTTAAAGATCGTTTCCAGGCCTTTCTGAATGGAGAGACTCAGATTGTAGCCGATGAAGCCTTCATCAACGCTGTCCAAAGTTACTACGAGGTTACGCTCTTTTTATTCATCAGTGCAACAAGTCTGAACTTACAAACTAGCTCATCTTTCAACTGATTTTCTCAGTTAGCTTTATAATGTAAAATCCTGTGCATGCAAACCCTGTACACTACCGATCAAAAGTTTGGGGTTGGTAAGTTTTTTTTTTGTTTCATGTTTTTGAAAGAAGTCTCTCATGCTCACCAAGGCTTCATTTATTTTATCAAAACTACAGTAAAAACAGAAATTTTGTGAAATATACTTTTGTGAATATTACTTTCATGAAATATAATTACTTTCATGAAAGTCTCTCACACATGAGAAAATTCAAGTCATATCAGCGACCTGAAAAAATAAATTTTATTCTACACAGGAGTGGTCTGCCATGTTGATACCATGGATACTTGGTAACCCCCCTATTAACTTTTGGTAGCATAATAAATAAATCCTAGATGAAAAATGTGCCTGCAAATAGTGTATTTTTGCAATGGCGTTAGCAACTAATAATGCTTTTTTGTGATGTTGCATGCCAATAAGTGTCATTATAGAGCCCAAGGCCAGTGTGTTGGATGTTTGAAGCTAAATGAGAGTTAACAAAACACAAACAGCAGAAGAAATTATTTGGTGCATCATTAAGCTTTATTTTGTGCAGATAAAAATGCTTTTGAATGCTCAGTTAGGTACCTTCGGTTAACTTTTGAGGACATCTAAACAGATCCTTTGTCTCTCCCATTAATATAATGCAGTTTAAAAGGGATTGTTTAGAAATGTTAAGCTGTTTGCTTTATGCTGATTTGATGAGCAACGTAATCCATGTCGGTGCATATATTAAATACATAAGTACACAGTTGCAGTCAATCTGTTAAATGTTTAAAATTACTTTAGCTCAAGATGTTGAAGGTATTAAGTCCTTGCAAAGGATTTAGTGAAACTTTCCTCTCTGATAAATATGTAGTCTCAAAGTAACACATTTTAATTGTTTTTTAGGTGATATATTATCTTTTATGACCTAGAAGAGGTGAATCTGGAATAAATTGCCACACAGGCTAGAGTTTTGGGCGAAAAGGAGATTGGTCTCAGTATGGGTGGTAATTTAATGAGGTGAAACTAATGAGCGAAATGCCTTTGTATTCAGTCACAGCCAAAGCCAGCTTTTTCAATTCAATTAAACCCTGATACTCTTATTGAATTTGTGCTGGATGTTCCCTCTCTGTCAACTCATCTCCCCTGCTTATCCAGGCACGTTAAGGGAATTGTGTCCACTGGAGAGAGGTAGGCCGAGATAAAAATACAAGAGGTGAACCGGTGAGAGAATACAGAAAATAAAAAGAGTGAAAGAATAGATTATTAAATAAATATAGCCTTAAACCCTACTGCAGACTGTCAGACAGATTCTGCACTGCCAGATTCGCACCAATTTTGTCTTGTTATAAATGTGACCCTGGACCACAAAACCAGTCTTAAGTCGCTGGGGTATATTTTTAGCAATAGCCAAAAAAACATTGTATGGGTCAAAATTATCGATTTTTCTTTTATGCCAAAAATCATTAGGATATTAAGTAAAGATCATGTTCCATGAAGATATTTTGTAAATTTCCTAACGTAAATATATCAAAACTTAATTTTTGATTAGTAATATGCATTGCTAAGAACTTCATTTGGACAACTTTAAAGGCGATTTTCTCAGTATTTAGATTTTCTTGCGCCCTCAGATTCCAAATTATTAACAAACCATACATCAATGGAAAGCTTATTTATTCAGCTTTCAGATGATGTATAAATCTCAATTTCGAGAAATTGACCCTTTTGACTGGTTTTGTGGTCCAGGGTCACAAATCAGGACTCTACTGTGCACTTTATGACACAGGGAAAATCTTGCCTAATTTAGGACAAAGTGTTTCTCAAGTGCCTCAATAGCCGTTTAACAAGGTAACACTGACCTGCAGCCAATGTTTTTTGAACCCAGAAAAATTGCTTTACTTGGAATTGATAGAAGCAGCCTTGGCCTCTGATTCTCTGAGCTCATCCCTTCATTCAGATCACACATGAATCTGTGGCTGTTAAGATTGATGGCTTGAGCTTGTCTCTGTGTGTGTGTGTGTGTGTGTGTGTGTGTGTTTGTGTGTGTGTGTGTGTGTGTGTGTATATACCACAAAATGCATCAGAAATACAGCATACCTAACATACACTGTAGATCTGATGCTGTTGCATATGGGAATCTGAATATATTGAATATAAATGAATGTTGAATTGTGCAATTTGGTTTTTAAAGAAATTGTGGCATTGAGTTTAAGAATATTTAAGTATTTAAGAATATTTAAATGTGAATATAATGTGACTTTTTAAATAAAACACTACAATTTTCATTATTTTATATATTTATATATGTGTGTGTGTGTGTGTGTGTGTGTGTGTGTGAAAGAAATTAATAATTTAACAATTAACTTAGGAAGGATGCATTAAATTGAGTAAACACGTATAATTTTACAGAGCTTTCTATTCATCAAATAATGCTTAAAAAAATCTTACCAACCCCATGCAGCATGTCTGAGCTCCTCAGCTGGTTATTGTGAACTTTGATGTGCTTGAGGGTAGCTGGGAGTTCTGGAAGGGCCTGGATGTTGTTGTCATCCAACATGAGGTTATTCCAAACTATTAACCAGTAGTGTATGTCTGTTACTGTGACAAGATTTATGTTTGATCACAGGTGTTCCTTAAAAGTGACCGCGTGTCCCGTATGGTCCAAAGCGGCGGTTGCTCAGCCAGTGACTCTCGTGAGGTCTTCAAGAAGCACATTGAGAAGCGTGTCCGCAGCCTGCCCGAGATCGATGGTCTGAGCAAGGAGACTGTCCTCAGCTCGTGGATGGCCAAGTTTGACACCATCTACAGGGGAGAAGAAGACCCACGCAAACACCAGCAGCGCATGACAGCCAGCGCTGCCTCCGAGCTCATTCTCAGCAAGGACCAGCTGTATGAGATGTTCCAACAGATTCTTGGCATTAAGAAGTTCGAGCACCAGCTGCTGTATAATGCTTGTCAGGTAAGGAGGGGACATTTATGCAAGTCTGTTCATTGCCAGGGAAGTGCACACTTGTTTCTACTACATGACATGGAAAATATAGAGATATATGTGATTATCCAAGTCTGGTTTTGGCTCTGTAATCAGATTTTTACCATGCAATTCTGTTTTTGGAGGAAGATGACTAAACCCAAAGAGCTCTGTGAGAGTTGTCTTGAAAGCAAGCATAATTATGTGTTATTTCAAATTGCTTGAAATCGGTCTAGAAAGCATCTGCATGAACCAGAAAGCCTCCTGTCAAGATTCCTGCAGCAGGCTGAGGAAAAGCAACAGTGCCTTTTCTGAGGAGGTGTGAGTTTGCAAATCATGCTTCAGTTAGAATAGCTTTCATTAGACCAGCTGCAGAAATGTACACAAGTCAAACAAAACCCAGAGGGCTGCCCACATTGACTTGACGTCCTTCAAAAAGTCACACTCTGTTCACACAGTAGGTCATTTCAAAATACACTGCAGAATGATATGAATTCAGAAGGTGATGTCATCCTAGGCTCTATGGGTTGTGGTCATTTCCTGTTTGTGGTAAATGAAATGAATGGAAACCAGCAAAGTGTGAGTTTGTTGAAAAGCTATTTACACTGACAATAGCATGGATAGTGAATCATTGACTCTGCTTCGGGCAACAAGAAATGGTGTAGTAGAAGGAATGAATGAAGAGAACAGTGGAGCACAGTAGTGGAGCACAGTAGTGAAGAACGACAATGAGTGAGTTCCAGAACAATAGAATAGACAGAAAAAGGAGCAAAAGAGCGCTCAACTGTCACATTTGTAGAATGCAATCGTAATGCAGTATTTTAAGATCGTTCCAAATGGTACAGTTTGCAACTTAATTAGTAAAATAATAAATGCAAAATAGTGGGAAAGGTGAGAAAAAATAAACATACTTTGGGGTCAGTAAGTTAAAAAAAATATAGAAAATAATACTTTAATTCAGCTGAGTAAAAAAGATTTATATTTCAAATGAATGCTGTTCTTTCAAACTTTGTATTCTTCAAAGAATCCTGAAAAAATTTATCATGTTTTCCAGAAAAATATTAAGCAGCACAACTGTTTTAAATGTTCATAATACGAAGAAATGTCTCCTGAGCAACTTGTCTCTTGCCTGACAAGATTAGCAATGTGCTAATGCTAAACTCTTATTTTAATCAATTGTGAGTGGCTCACTAGGTTTTGGAACAGACCTAGACCCAGACCAGACCCAAATAAACACATGTTTTGGGCTGGAAAGTTTATGCTTTACATGCTGCCCCAAATTTCACATATCTTGCATTGCACAATGACAAAAATGACATTGAAAAACTGAGATTCAATATCTGATTTATACTTGAAAAAACGTAGGGTTTTGAAAAAATTACAATTAATTATTAATTAATAATATGTAATAAATATGTAATAAATAAATAGATAAATAAGTAAGTAATTGCGTAAAATGGAGAAATATGAACCTGCAATAGGACACTTGACCTGAAACATAATTTGACATTGTATTAAATAAGAAAAGAAAAATAATAATAATTATGTCTTTTTGGACCCCTCTGTGTTTTATGGCTTTGTGGATTTGTGTACTTGAATTGGAATAAGAATGGGAAACACCTTCATACAGAATTTCATGAAGGCTCCTGCAGATTTTGGGCAATTGTGGGATTTGTGACCAGTGGGAAAACAAAATCACAGAATCCGGAGGAGGTGTCAGTGTAGGAGTCTGCTATTCATCATTTTCCACTGTCTGTGTTCACACTGGAGCCAAGCGGGCCCACTTGAGTGTGTGCCATTTTGATTCTCTTTCTATTAGCCTCATGAATCCTACTTACTGTGTAGGAATGGTAATATCCCTGTAACCATAGCAACGGCGGACACGCCGACCAGGTCTTACCTCAAATCTTGGCATCACCCCAGTCCTGTGGTTACAAATGCTGGCATATTTGTCTCTTTCTTTAGCTTCGTCTCTCTGTCATTCTCACTGCTAGTTTATGCAGGGTGCTTAAGTCTTTTATTTTTCTCAGCAAGTCATTATTTCTGTTTTTCCTCCGGGACTTCCAAGCCCCTTCCTGCTTTTTAAATTAAATCTGGTTGATAGGCAGAGTCTGTGTTAAACAGCTGTGTGTGCGAGTGTGTCTATGTGTATAACAGCATTCAGTATCAGTGCATTGGCTGTCTCCTGGGTAGTAGGAGTTTAATCCAATCTATCGACTCTTTCCTGAGGGCATTTCAAGATACCGGCTGTGGATGGCAAGTGACTGACAGGCAATTAAAATCGATAAAAAATGCTGGAAAACAGATCAGTCAATCAGTGGAAATCAAGAACCTATTAATTTGGGACCCGTAACTCACTCTGTCACTTTAGCAAGTCTCTTGCAACTGTTATGAGGTTAATTATATATAATTATTAGAGGTGTTAATTTTGCATCTAAATGTATAATTAATTATAAAAAAACATTTAAATAAAAAATAAAAACGTAATGTCATTAATTAAAATGAAATGTCATTTAAATTTATTGAAAATGTAATATCTTTGGCTATTGTCTAGTTGTCGTTTTTTTAGCATCTCGCCTCCTCGAGCTGTGCATTTTAACAGAATAGTTCACCTAACAATGAAAATTTGCTGAAAATTTATTTAACCCTATGTCATCCAAGATGTACATGAGAAACAGAACAGATTTAGAGAAATTCCTCTGCAGTGAATGGGTGCCATCAGAATAAGAGTCCAAACAACTGATAAAAACATCACAGTAATCCACACGACAGTCCATAAATTAACATCTTGTGATGTAAAAAAACAACCAAAATAGTCCATAATCCATAATTACATTTTCTCAAGTGAAGAAGTCTATCCCCTGTTGTTCTCTCACGTCAAAATCCACTGATATATTTGTTTTTGCTTAAAAACATTGCTTGATTGGGTATTTATCTCCTGATTCAGACAAGATGACTTTTTCACTGGATAGTAAATATATTCAGCAAATTTTTCAGCACGTTCACACAAAAATGTCATTTCTTTTATCATTTTTAATTCACAAAAAAAAAAAAACAACCAACAACAATCAATTCAATTTAGACTAGACAGATGTCTTAACAGAGAACACAAAGCGGTAGCTTGACGCTGGTCTCCTCACACGCACATGGCATAGGATCAAATCCATTAATGATATCCCCCGGTGAGGGCGCAGTCACAGGATGATGCATCCACCTCACAGAACACAGCAGGATCCTTCTTCAACTTCTTGTCAGTCGTGACCCGAGTGCCACACCGATGCCACACTGGGAATCTCATCAATAGAGCCCACTGCTGGCCTACAGTCTTTCACTCTTTCCCCTTCACTCCTTCCTTCACTCATTCTCATTTCATCGGTACATATAGATTAACAAATGCATTTTACCCTGCAATGATGACTATAACTGGAACAAATTGGATTTCAGCCATTAGCCCAGGATATGCATTTTGGTGTGGGCATCCTGATGTAGGAAGCATTATTCTGTTGAATGAGATTTTGTCTTCCTGGCTTTGATAATGAAAGCCCAATCTGAAGTAATTGGCATGAATTGCAAATACAAGAGGAGCAGGAAGGTGACTTGACTGGGATGTGCGCGCTCTGGTTGATTGCTGTTAGTGAACACAAACTGATGACAAATCAGCAGCGGTTCTACACACGCACACATGCACTTCAACAAATGGCGTCCCTACTTGAATACATTCATGACGGAGACACTCTCCGTATAACTAAAAGTCAACACAGAAATGGCTAAACAGCTACAAAGCTTTATCAAAGGCTTTTCTTTAGGCAGCGCTTAAACGAGCAGACGTTGGTAGGCTGGTGCAGTGAGGACAGCTGTTGCCACTCATTTACTCTCATCAGACCTCGTCTCTGAAATGCAGATAACACAATGAGCTTTGAAAGCTCTGAAAATAAAGACCATGTATGCGTTTGTGTCGTGCTTTGCCGAATCCCTTTGCGCCCATGATGTGTGTGTGCGCTTTGTGGTGCGTGTTTTTGATGTCCGCAGTGTGACTATGCAGTGCTGAGGGTCTATGTGTTTAAAGGCGCTTGTTGTTTGACAGAAATCACCTCAGCACCCTTGTCTGATCTGAGGTAGTTGTCATGGAGATGGTAAACATGCAGGGCTTTTAAACACTCTCTTGCCCATCAGCTGTTCTTCTCTTTGAATACATTACAGACTGTAACCTTATAATTACTTCTTTCTCTGTCCATCCCCCACCCTCTCTTTTTCTCAATGTCAATCACCTTTTTATTTCAGTTATATGCCAGGACAACATTTCTAATTTTTTAATTTTCATGTAAAATGTTTGTATTTATTTTACTGCATTATATCAATTGCCGATAATATTTTTAGTTAACAATAAAACTGGAGCATGATAGATAGACACGAATTACAAATCTTACAGAGCCTTTGAATCCAGTAATGGCAGGCTATACTGTTTCTCAGCTAGATATTTAAAGGGGTCATATGATGCAATTTCAAATTTTCCTTTCTCTTTGGAGTGTTACAAGCTGTTCGTGCATAGATAAGATCCCTAAAGTTGCAAAGACTAAAGTCTCAAACCCAAAGAGATATTCTTTATAAAAGTTAAGACTCGTCCACACCCTCCTAAACCGCCTCGTTTAAACACGCCCCCACATGTCTACATCACGATGTGGGAAGATTTGCATAACACCATACAAATGTTCACGCAAAGAAAGAAGGCATAACTTTATTGTTGCTGCCAGTATTGTTGCCACCGCCGCCATGTCGTGGAGATGCTGTGTGTTTCGCTATGAAAGCGAAACTACTTTGTTTTGCCTTCCAAAAGAGGACACAACTAGATATCAGTGGTTAAGTTGTATTTACAACACTGTTCCAGAACAGTTCAAACCAAATATTCAGAT